AAACATGAAGTTGGGCTGTGGAAGCACTGGAACTAGATGATGCTTCATTTCAAATCACTCCTCACTGCAGTGGTACCCCAGAAGCTTCCCCAAACCCACTGCCCTATGGGACACACCTTTAACTACTCATTTGCTTCTGCCCACAGCAGGGGGGGTGGAACAGGATGGTCTGTAAAGTCCCTTTCAATCCAATCCAGGCTGATTCCTGTTCCTCTGCTGGTCACAATTTCATTGCAACATAAAAGGAATTTAATAAGGGCTCAGATGCAAAATACAAGTAAACTGCAAATACCAATCTGTGGTACCCCTTGCCCACTCCTAACTCAGCCCACCACTTCATCTCCATGCTTCTCGAACAGATGGGATCTTCTGGCACTCTTTAAACCACTCAACAGCACTTTCTTCCCTAACAAAGCAAACAATTACTGGAGTAAGATGCTATTTCCCATCATTTTTTCCCTGCTATTTTTAAGGAACCAGCCAGCCTGGTGAGCTGATGAAGGATTTGCAGTGCAGCTATTCTGCCCTCAGAAGCCTAACACAGCAGAATCTAACGCACGTTGGCACGAAGGTACAGAACATGCTAAATGAACTTCACGAGGAGTTTGCTCACTCAATCCTTCCCTCAAGAGCTGTGGACAGCCTGTCGATCACAGATGCAAAGATAATCACTTCTTAGCACTGGCTTCACAAGTTGGATCTCTAAACACAGGGAAGCAAAGGCTGCTCTATGCACCAGCTCTGCGAGGTGAACATCCACCTTTGTGGATGTTGTTTGTCAAATCCTATAAAGTCTTTCAAGGTATTTTTTTCCTAAGTTAAGCCTATTTTTTCTCTAATGCAACAATTTTCTTGTTAACCCTGCAGGTGTTTTGATCAAGCTAAGCATTTGCTGTGCTATATATGTGGTTCTCCTCAAGAATCTACAAGCATTGACTTTGTGCCAATACCAATATCTGGAAATCAATGTCAGAATTATAAACTCAGAATCATAGAATAGTTAGGGTTGGAAAGGACCTTAAGATCACCCAGTTCCAACCCCCCTGCCATGGGCAGGGACACCTCACATTAAACCATGGCACCCAAGACTCCATCCAATCTGGTCTTGAACACTGCCAGGGATGGGGCAGCCACAGCTTCCCTGGGCAACCGATTCCAGTGCCTCACCACCCTCACAGGAAAGAACTTATTCCTTATATCCAATCTAAACTTCCCCTATTTAAGTTTGAACCCATCACCCCTTGTCCTGTCACTACAGTCCCTGATGAAGAGTCCCTCTCCACCATCCTTAAAGCCCACTTCAGACACTAGGAGCTGCTCTGAGGTCTCCACTCAGCTTCTCTTCTCCAGGCTGAACAGCCCCAATGTTCTCAGCCTGTCCCTAGATTCTTTCTGGAAAGCTTCTTCTAAAAGTGGCTGCAGAGGACTACAGGACTCAGATTAAGCAGATAACAAGACCTAAAAAGGCCTGAGTTACATTAATACCAGTTCAGACACTCAGATGAGGTCCAGATACCCAGGGATGTCAAATACAGACCACTGCAATATGCAGCACCTCCAAAGAGACAAAAGCTGCAGAGAAAAGCCAATGGATTTTGTAATAACTAAGCAAATTTAGCAGTAGATTTGCAATCCAGTGGGTATTTGTTGAGTGGGAAATCAACCCAAGAAGGTAGTTACGTGTTGCCTAGCTGCAGTCTGTAATATGAATAGTCTCCCTGCAGGTAAATCACTTTCTATTACTCCTAAGTACCCCAGGAAAAATACTAATTGAAAACATGGTTCTAATACTGTCCAGCTGGAAAACATTAGCTTGGGATGAAACTAGTTTGACACTGGCTGCCAATTGGCCTTCCACAATGGAAAAGGAAATTAATCTCTTGCAGACAAGACGGCCCATTTTCCACTTCTCCTTTGTAGCCCTCAAATCAACCCATTATTAACCAACAGCTTTGATTCACATGAGGAAAGAAAAACACCAATGCAGTTATGACAACACAAGGCTGGATTTCTTGCTTTAAAATGAAGGTGCTCAGAGTTGGACACAGCGAATGGCAGAGGAACTGAAGAATAGCTTAGTCAGCAGTGCAGCACCACTTCTCTCTTTTCTTGGCTAATAACTGACAAAACACAAAGTAAAATGCACTTTTACAGTTCTGTCTCATCCCAGCCCATCTTTCTTCAGCCCCCTCCTGCTAAGACCCTTTTTCCCTATGCAGGTGCAAAAAGGATGAGGAGAAAAACGAAAGCTGATCCCATGGATGCTGAGACTGCTTTTTCACTTCAATTTAAATGTATTTAGATGCAGTATCCAAGAGGCCAGACTAAGAAGTGTCATTCCGCAAGTTGCTCACAACCCCCATACTTCCTGAGCCTCCTCTTCCTGTGATTTCAACTTTGCTGAAACATTCCAGACTTTTATTCATGCTTTTATCCCCTATCCAAGTTCTCCAAGATGGTAAAAAGCTATATAAAGCACCCCCAAAATGTAGTGATCCTCCCTGCCATGGAGAAGCATCCTTGTTCTGCACCCACATCTTCCAGCAGATGAAGGCACCTGCTGGCACAACAGCCCATGTCCATGTTCTGTATTTGGCTTCATGTAACTGCACAGGTTTTGTGCCATTTGCCTCAATCAGACCACCTCATCTATGCTTGAAGTTGACTGAGAAACATTCGTATGAGTTACCAGCACAGAGGGCAATCAGCAGTTGGTAACAGTTTCTGGGTTTAAAAGGGGACATATGTCCACAGTCTGACTTAGTATGCTTAACACCAGCTTCTCCATCCCTTCTTGAGTAACCCAAAGAGGTCAGAGAAGTGAGATATGGAAGATGACAGACATGGGAAAGCAAGGAAAGTGAGTGAAAGAGGAAATCCCGTCTGTGGTGCTGCCTATGGAAGCGCTTCAAAAGAGAAGAGTTCAACATTCCTATCATCACAAAAGTCATTGAGAAGATGACAAAACACAGAGAGGCATGGAGGAGAAATCAGACCATAGAGCCCAAATGAAAAGGGAAAAAGCACTGCCAGCTGAACTAGAGAAGAAATTACACACTGATCAGAAGGTAAGAGATCCCAGTTTACTATCTCCTCTGCAGCTCTGAGTGCTGACAAACTTGTCAGAGAGATCAAAAAGCTAGGGATGACTTTGTCCTATTCTGATCCTACTGAAGAGGTGCTCTTAGTTACCTTATTTCCAGAAAATGGGAAGAGGAGGAGGAAAGGGGCCCCAGACAGACAGACTGCAATCCAAAAACATCAGCAGCCAGGCTACAGCCTCACCAATCCACCTCCAGCCTGATGGGAACATCCATACACATCCCACAGCTTCTCCAATGAAGCAACCAAAAAAAGGCTCATCCTAATTTGCTGAGTGACAATCCTATTTTACACGCTTTTATGTCAAAGTCTTGGGGAGCTATTAATGGCTAATGACTTCCAGAGCCTACCAGCCTTGTAAGAGAAATTACAGCAACTCACAAAACCCGAGTGATCTGGAGTCAAATGAAAGTCAATGGGGAGTAGAACTACTCGGAATCTCCAACGAGAGGTCCCAGAGACAGGTGAGCTTAGCTGTCCAGCCACTGAGTATCCCAATATCCCAAATCACTGAGTACCTTTGTAAATGTAACTTCATTTCCACACTATGCTCCAAGTTTGACCTCTGCAAAACATGGGGCAATTGATCCCTGACTTCAGAGAAAGGTAAGGGGGAGCTCAGGAATTATTCAAGCTTGGGAATAAAGGTTTGGATGGAACACAGTAAATAACCAGAACAAATAATGAAATTAGGAGAATATATCAAAAAGCTTCGTTCTTTACTGTGAGGGTGGTGAGGCACTGGAATGGGTTGCCCAAGGAAGCTGTGAATGCTCCATCCCTGGCAGTGTTCAAGGCCAGGTTGGACAGAGCCTTGGGTACCATGGTTTAGTGTGAGGTGTCCCTGCCCATGGCAGGGGGGTTGGAACTGAATGAACTGAAGGTCCTTTCCAACCCAAACTATTCTATGATGTGCCTACCCAGAACATGGTTCAGAACATCAATCAGGTGAAAAAAATATTACAACTTCCCGTGAAACACTATATTCTCACATAAATTAAGGAAAAGCTAAAGCTATCCAGGCATCCTTAATTGTGGCATTTCCTGATACGAAGGCCAAGATTTAAATATCCCCACTCAGCAAACAGAAGTCCTGGGGTCAGGCTGTTTTCATGTGCTTTGCAATAATTAAAATACACATTTTTTTTAATAGAAAAACAGAACTTGCTCTCTTGTCCCAGTAACAGAACATGAGAAACTTAGTGCCTGGACTAATGACTTCCAAAATACCTTAAGTCTAAATAAAATAAGATAAAACAGCTGTGTTAGGAGAGAAAACAATCAGTGTTCTCAGGTTCTTAACTTTTTCCTTTTATATGCAAGTCTGCTAGTCAAAGCATCACATCAAAAAGATCTTTTAATTCATTAGTTTCCTTTTAAACAGGCTTTGCTTAAAACTATGTGCTCTAAGAACACGCCAGCCTGGTGCAAGACAGTGATTTCTCCCCGCTCCTATTTGCACATCACAAGATGTATTTGAACTTCAACATGATGTAATCGGAAATATGTTAGCTCTATTGTAGTACACAGACATGATTATATTCCTGTTTACTTTGAGATATCACAGAAAAATGGCTTTTATTTGCAGTATCTATGGCTATTTGTAGCCAAACTATTGAGTAAAGCTGCATCCTTCTTGATTACAAGGGATAATAAAACTTATAAGGCAAACAAATCCATGCCACAGACCCAGTATATCTTTAATCTAAACCAGCCTCCAAGTTGTAATCACATACCTGAAGGAATACAAGCAGATCAAAACAGTATTTACTGGCCTTCCCAAAGTTACTGCTTCTTGCAGGTATATAACAGAGGATTTGGGATTATCAAGTTAACTAGAGTTGAAAAGAAGCATCCATGATTAATTGTGAGGACCATCCTCAAGAACCAGCTCTCACCTTTATGCTTCCCCCAATGAGATCTGGCGGCTCTTCATCTGTTTCTAAGGCAACGTTGATGGAGGCGAAGGGGCGACTTGCCATCTGTTGCATCTCCCGGAGTAGTTGCTAATTTAATAAACAGAAAAATATTATTATCATCTTGTTCCAACACAGAGATGGAAAAAAAACACCACATGTATCTGAGGGGTTTTACCCCATATGAAGGGATACCAAGGAATATAAAGAAATAACTTCCTCGTGTTTTAACAGGCTTAAGGGTACAAAGAGAGCTGTAAATATTCACATTACTACAATGGAATAGTTTACTGCGAGTGAAGCCACACAGCCTGAGCCTGACCCATTTGTGATGGCAAATGCAGCAGCTTAACTGTCCACAAAGCAGTTATTTACATTTTAAGCTGTGATACCCTGGTTGTTTGTTGTCATCTGGCTGGGGCACGACAGGACTCCATAGGTATTAGTGGGAACCATTGGAAAATGCAACTAGCAGTAGCATGGAACTACTGTAAGACAGGATTTGATATTGTTTATAACAGCACTAGCAAAACGCTGTCAGGCTTCTATTGAATAATCATCTTTATTTTAGTGTTGGTTTCCTTCTGAATGCAGCAAATGTACCAAATGGAAAGAACACGTCCTTGTTGCACTGTGTTTTATTAAAATAGGAAACCTTTTCCTGGTAAATCTCTGCAGGCCTTTATGACACGAGGCATCTTTTCATTGTCCTCTTAAGCACTCTGAAGCATTATGATGCAGCTCCCATTCTTTAACACATACAAAAAAAAAGACATTTCCTACATGGCTGGGCTGCAAACAGCATTTCAGTTTTAGCTGAGCTGTGGCTATGCTGCTTTTTGGCTCTGGTGCCTAATCTCTAATACTAAGAGCAAGCTACACAACCCAGAAGTGGGTGCAGAAGCCATAACCCTAATTCCCAGAAGCAATGGCTCTGATGTGACTCAGTGCCCCTATTTAATAAGGGAAGAGGCATCCACTTTGTATAGGGTGGAAAAACCCAGCAGTCTTACCCTTAAGTGCAGCAAATGCCTACTGAATCACTTGCTGTACACAGCTTCACACACTTAGCATTCCTACTTAGCTGCAGCAGTACTAGCTATACTCTATTTTTAAGCTAGATTGAGGCACCATCAAATGTCCTCTGTACTTGCCACCATCACCACCCACATTTCCCCATTACTTCTGGACAATTTGACATTCAAGCCCTAACTGATCATTTAGAACACTCAAAAAGGGCTAAAGAAACACAACAAAATGAATTGTGTCCCAAATAACCCCCATCTAGAATGGCAGAAGAGGCCAGAGCACATGGGCAAAAGGAAGATGATGCTACAAGATGTTGCCTGTGCAGAGGAGCCCTGAGGAGATGGACTTGGGTGTGTTGGGTGAGGAGAAGCTCCCCATGACCCAGCTTCAGTGAGCGCTTGAGCCCAGAACCCCCCCGTGTGCTGGGTGCACCCCCAGAGCGTGAGCAGCAGCTCAGGGAGGGGATCCTGCCCCTCTGCTGTGCTCTGGGGAGACCCCCCCTGCAGCCCTGATCCAGCTCTGGGGCAGCAGCACAAGAGGGACGTGGAGCTGTTGGAGCGAGGCCAGAGGAGGCCATGGAGATGCTGCGAGGGCTGGAGCAGCTCTGCTCTGGAGCCAGGCTGAGAGAGCTGGGCTGGGGCAGCCTGGAGAAGAGAAGGCTCCTGAAGGGGAGACCTTAGAGCAGCTCCAGTGCCTAAAGGGGCTGCAGGAAAGCTGGAGAGGGGCTTGGGACAAGGGCCTGTAGGGACAGGCCAAGGGGAATGGCTTGAACCTGCCCAAGGGGAGACTGAGCTGAGCTCTTAGGCAGAAGCTCTTCCCTGTGAGGGTGCTGAGGCGCTGGCACAGGGTGCCCAGAGAAGCTGTGGCTGCCCCATCCCTGGCAGTGTTCAAGGCCAGGTTGGGCACAGGGGCTTGGAGCAAGCTGCTTCAGTGGAAGGGGTCCCTGCCCGTGGCATGGGTTGAAGCTGGAGAAGCTTTAAGGTCCCTTCCACCCCAAACCAGGCTGGGATTCTGTGATTCTATCCAGCCTGCAACTCGTTTGGACAATACGTATTACATCACCTTTTTCTTAAACTCATAAACCTTCTATGGCCTTTCCCCTGTGAAGCCACCCTTTGGTTTTGGAGTGGTTTTAGTGTAGAAAACAGGAATACTGTCTCTTTAAGAAGCTTGGGATTCAGGCACTGTGGCAGGCAGGCACGACAAGGTCAATACAACTAAGCTTTGGGCATATATAAGCCTCTATGCTTTTCATACGGATCTCACATTAATAAAATACAACAATTCATTGCCATAAAAGGCCCGTGGCAAAGTTTTCCTTCATTTCTGAAAGAAAAGAAAAAAAAAAAAAGGAAAACAGAAAATATTTAGGAGCAGATTGTAGATACTGTCACAAAGCAAAAAACCCAGCGCACTGACACCAACGGAGCCGTACTAAGCACTTGCAAGCAAACTTGTGGGTAACTCACACTTGGGTAAGAGAACACGAGGAGTTTTGGAATATTTAAAGCACACCAGCAGATTGCAGACGAAAGCAAGTGTGAAACAGATTGCTGGGTTGTTGTTTCTGCAATTGTCCCCTTCAGCTATCATAAAGCGCTTTGTTGAATGGCTATAAAATCAAAGAACAAGCTGTCCTGATGAAGATGTCCATGAGACTTCAGAGCTAAAAGCCATCAGCTCTTTGAAGGAAGCCTGGTTTACTCAAGGAAATGTGCAATTTGGCAACATGACTCCTACTGAAGTCAATAGTAGCTTCAAGATATAAAACCCAGAGCAGTGCTGTGAAGGCAGAGATGTGACACAACACGAGCAGTGGGAAAAGCAGTGCTGACAGCATCGTTACTGTCTTTGTGCTCTGAAGAGGCTGAGGAAAGGCTTTGCTTTTTGGGGCTGTCGCAGCTGAGCCTCAGTAAAACAGTGGCCAGACCAGGTAAGATGAAAGGTCCCAGCTACAATCAGAGCAGCAAATGCCTAAGGGAGCATCCTGTTCCTAACACCAGTTTGTGACGCAGCACAAATGATGCTACTGAATTGCAACCCCCTCAAAATTAAGAAGAAATTTGGGAAGTCACTGTCCTGTAACCAGAATGTCACTCTTTCCCCAGTGCATGCACTGTGCATGTTTAACCCTAGAATCCCAGCATGGTGTGGGTTGGAAGGGACCTTAAGGCTCCTCCAGCTCCAACCCCTGCCACGGGCAGGGACCCCTTCCACTGGAGCAGCTTGCTCCAAGCCCCTGTGTCCAACCTAGCCTTGAACACTGCCAGGGATGGGGCAGCCACAGCTTCTCTGGGCACCCTGTGCCAGCGCCTCAGCACCCTCACAGGAAACAGCTTCTTCCTTGTATCTAACCTAGCTCTCCCCTGTTTAAGTCTGAACCCGTAACCTGTGCACGTGTGTATCCTTCAGTGGTTTTCAGTATGTTAAAATTTTAATTAAAAGAAGTTATTGTGTTGTGAGGGAGAAACTGTGGCGTTTCCCTAGCCGAGACATCGAGCACAGCATTAGAAATCAGCAGCAGTTAACATCAAGATACCATGAAGCTGGCTCCCCCTCATTCCTAATGATTGGCTTTCTGAGATTTGACATAATGAACCCCAACGCTCTTTCAAGCAAAGCTTTGGTTTCTAGATCACACAATTAATAAGACAACCTGGGAATATTTTAAATCAGTTAGGTCTGAAGAGGATTTAAAAGGCAAAACGTTTGACAGGCTTACAATAAAAACACATCAAAAAGCAGGAATTGGAGCCCCTGGCCTTTAATATTTAAGTAACTGCAAACTGAGAACCTGCAACTTTCATTTGCATTGATTTCCTTTTTTTCCTCCCACTATCACTAGCAAAACTCTGTTCAAAAAGAATCACAAGTGAAAGCAATCGCAGAGTGGGAAGTGTTGAAACAAAGCCTGAAGGCTTTGGTGCAACCACACCAAAGGAACCTGACAATAAACAATCTCAACAGTCCACAGTGGAAGAGAGCAGCGAGGTGGGGAGACAACCGATGTCACCCATCTCATTGTGGCAGCACCAGAGGTGCAGCTGTGGGAGCAGACAGTGCAGAACTGCAATGTTTTATACCAGGGATTCTTTAAACTCATACCTGTTGAGTAATGGATAATCCAAAATGAAAAGTGTGCTGCTGATGGAGGGAAAACCACCGGAGGACTTGAGGAAAACCTCTTCATGCAATAGCACGTTAAAGAAAAACAGCTCTTCAGGTTACCAGGTTAATTGACTAATATAACCTATGCTGTGTTTCCTGACAAGAGAAGCCTGAACATTTTATTCATGCTAATAAAGCAGTCACCACTCTTTGTATAACCATGCTGCTACCATCCATCTCAGCAACTGCCCCCTGCAGAGGCTCTTTTATGAGCATGGTACCTTTGGGGCTGGGGGTCTGGTATCTTCAGCCATGAAAGGGTGATGATTCTTCCAGAAGAAAGCCACACGTTTTGGATTTCATTTGCTCCTTATAAAAGATGGCTTTAAAAAACTAAGCTAAGCAAAACAGCTATCTACAGCTTGTAATGAACACAAGAGTGTACATGAGTATTTCATCTCGGTTTTCAATGGAGATGAGAAGGAAAAAGACAGAAACTCAAGGAGGAAGAAAACACGGGTGTGCTAAGTGAACAACGGGCACGGTGAAGCTTTCATTTTAAGGCAGAGTAAATGCAAAGCAAGCAGGACCCCACGAGAAAGGGAGCAGTTATGTCCAGCAGACAGGAGGTACAGCAGGAATAATGCTGGAATGAGTCCAGAAGAGGCCATGGGGATGCTGCGAGGGGTGGAGCAGCTCTGCTCTGGAGCCAGGCTGAGAGAGCTGGGCTGGGGCAGCCTGGAGAAGAGAAGGCTCCTGAAGGGGAGACCTTAGAGCAGCTCCAGTGCCTAAAGGGGGTGCAGGAAAGCTGGAGAGGGGCTTGGGACAAGGGCCTGTAGGGACATGCCAAGGGGAATGGCTTGAACCTGCCTGAGGGGAGACTGAGCTGAGCTCTTAGGCAGAAGCTCTTCCCTGTGAGGGTGCTGAGGCGCTGGCACAGGGTGCCCAGAGAA